TGAGAAGAGTTTCCGCTTCGCTGGTCAACACAATTTAATAACATAATAGTCAATGTTGGAACATTTTTCAAATAAATGGAAGTATAGAAAGATGGTGATTTAACACTTTTCCAGTTTGACTTTTCCACTTGCGCAGCACAATCCATTTCTCTTTTAAACTTCAACACACTGCAATAACGGTATATAGACGCCATTGGTCCAATATCTAAATTTTCATTATTACTGTAGTTCGCAGTGGGATCATATTGGAATGCCAAGCGATTGAATGATGCCAATGATCTCCATGTGCTCATTTGTCTTTCTTCGCTTAAGTTTTGTGAATATACTTGTTGCTGGGTTGGATGTCTGCGGCCAATGTTTGCACGTCGTCCTCTAAGCATTTTGGACTATGGACAGAGTGGTGAATTTATCCTCAAATACACGATCCACATAATTTTCACAGTTCAACTTAAATTGAATAAAAATTCTTTTTTTTTACAATTCCGAGTGAACACAATCCCCTTTTGTCCATGAAATTAACTGAGCAGAGAACACTAAGGTTTGCATAATATGTGAAAAAAAATAATTCACTTGGAAATGATAAATGACAACCACAAAAATTGAGTTAAAATGCTATGGTAGCGTGTTTGTCAGTGTGATGACGTAGCAACTCACTTTATATGCGACAATATTGCAATTTTCTTACGGATCCCTAATTTTTTCAAAATAAATTATAGCCTATTTTACTCCACGATAATGTGGCTTTCTATCGGTGAAAGAATTTTTTTAATCGGACCATTAGTTTCGAAGCCTATTCGTTGCAAACAAACAAACAAACAAACAAACAAACAAATTTTACCCCTTTATAATATTAGTATAGATGTTTTTTTCTTTAAGTCCAGCTATGATCTCATAAATAGGGACTGTTGCTTCGATGCCTTTTATTACTACTTGTAGTCCTTTGCAACTTTTAAGTTGGTAGGTGTAGTAATTTATTTTGCCGTTGTCAAGGTGTTTGGCAACAGATCGATAGTCTTGTTCGTTGTTCACTTGTATTTTTGTTTCATTAATGTTTCCCTTTTTTAAGGATTTAACATAGAAATTGTTTGCTCCTATTTGATTAGTTATTTTTTTGACCAATTCAAAACAATTTGCCTGACGTACAAAGATTGGTGGTGGCCTTAGGTGCTTTGTCTGAGGTTTTTGAGCGGTATCATCTTCTTTTGGGTCACTCAGAATAGAAAATCGATTTCTTGTTAGCGCATTTTTTGGTACAGTGGCTTCAAATTTCTTCGTGACTTTTGATGGATTAACATTTTTGTTATTTTTGGGTTGGGTATTGGCTAGCTTGTCAGTAAGGGCTGACGAAACAGAAACTGCAGTTGATGTGGTTGTTGTCGCCGCTAGTGTCGATGTCACCGTCTTAAACGATGGCATTGTGCTGGTCGTTGTTGTTATCAGCAGATCGTTGGTAATGTTGTAGGTGTCGGGGGACGGTCATTGGGCACTGAACGGCTGTTTTTGTGATGCGCCGCTTGGACATAATAAGGCGGGAGAGAGCGAGCGTGCTCTCTCCGTACTCACTTTTAGTGTTGCATTTGTTGTCGGTTCTAACTCTTCCGCTCTTATGGAGAAGTAAGAGAGCCGACGTTCGTATTTTTGTTGTTGCCGAGCCTTGCTCATTAAACGTTGGCTTTGTTTATGATCAGCTGAATTATTGTTTATTTTCGTAATTTGAACACAACTTGAATTCCATAGGCAACACGAGTACATGTACCCATGCGTTACCTCAGCGTCTTTTCGCGAAATGGAATTCGGCTATTTACGATGTATTTTTAATTACACGGCGGAGCGATATAAAAACACGTCTGTTCTCATTGACAGTAGCAAGAGAATCGAATTTGATTTTGTCTTTTTGGACTACCCTTCCCTTAATAAGGACCGTGGTTCCCATGTCCGCTTCAACGGCTGTCTCCTAACACAGTGATGTGAGCTTGTGGCTAAGTCTTCGGTTTTGATTTAACTGAGACTTTATCGCCGATCACGAATGCACAGGTTTCCTGTACGTCAGGGACTGCAAAAATGTCTTTTACCAACCAATTCGTCCTGTACCATCGCCAGCGAGTAAAAAAATAAAAAGGTTTCAACAATTGGTATTATGAAGTCGCCGTGTAGATAGAAACGGATCAAACAAAACAGAGCATAATATGAAGTGAATCCGATTACTGTAACTCTTTTTTTAAAGTATTGAATAATGAGAAAACAAGAAAGGAAGCTAGCTTCGGCATGTCGAAGCTTATACTATACTCTTGCAGAAATCAAATATTTCGAACCAAATACATAGAGGCTAAATAACATCAAAGCCACATATTATGATATATGTCGATTTTTATACCCTTGCAGAGCAAAGGGTATTATAATTTCATTCAGAAGTTTGCAACGCAGTGAAGGAGACACCTCAGACCCCATAAAGTATATATATTCTTGATCAGCATCACGATCGGAATCCAAATACATATGTGTGTACGTCTGTCTGTCTGTCCGTCTGTCCGATTCTCTTCAAACTAAACTCTCAGTTTTAAAGCTATCTTGCTGAAACTTTACCAAAAGGTGTGTAGTTATTGCACGCAGTATATAAGTCGGAACGAGCCGGATCGGCCGACTACATCTGATAGCTCCAATACGAGAGAACGAAATAAAAAATTCTCAGGCCGTTGTTTTTAATCGGATCGACTTGATTTCTTCCAGATGGCATTTTCTAACTGCTATTGAATTTTGGATTAAATTTTATCAAAATCAGATAACTCTATCATATAGCTCCCATAGGAGAGATCAAAAAATATATATATAAATAATGGAAAAAAATTATAACGTCGTTGTTTTTAATCCCACGAGCATGATTTTTGGAACATCAAGTTTTTTAAATACTTTTAAATCGAGAAAAAAATTCCATAAAAATCAGAGTATCACATAGCTGCCATAGGAAAGATCGAAAAATCATTATAGAAATAACGAAACTAAATTGATTACCTCGTTGGTTTTCATCAGACAATCAAGATTTTTGAAACATAGAGTTTTCTAATGAGTCTTGAGTTTCATCAAAATCGGACGACTATATCATATAGCTGTCATATGAACAATACGGAAAATAATAGAAAAATCGTCATAGCTTCGATGTTGTTTAACCTTTATTATTTTGTTCGACATATTTTATGACTGCAAGGGTATATAAGCTTCAGCTTGCCGAAGCTAGCTTCCTTTCTTGTTCTATGATGTTTTTGTATTTTCGACGATTGTTCATACTCCCTTGATCAAAAAGTTCCTGACTGTGCCGGATGAAAACATCGGCAAAATCAAAGACTGGATGGCCATAAACCGCAAATTGACTATTAGAGAGATGGCAGAGGAGTTGGACATTGCTTTTGGAACCGTTCAAGATATTTTGGCTAATGATTTGGGTTTCAGACACGTCGCTGCAAAGTTGGTGCCAAAAGAACTGAATTTCATACAAAAAAATTAATCGCGTTGAGGTCGCCAAAGACATGATTTCCAAGGCTGAATCCGACCCAACATTCATCAAACGCATCCAACAACCACCGAATTCACCGGATTTGGCTCCCTGCGACTTTTACCTGTTCAGTCGACTTAAAAAACGCGTTACAGCAGCCGAGATAAGATCATGGAAAAATCGAATGATGACCATACCGCGAGCTGACTTTAAAAAGTGTTTTGAGGACTGGATCATGCGCTGGCATAAGTGCGTTGCAGTCGATGGAGAGTACTTTGAAGGGGACAATATTGAACTTGATGAATAACTTTGTATTTTTGATTAAATTAATAAAAGTCGGAAACTTTTTGATCAAGGGAGTATGACAGCTATATGATATAGACGTCTAATTTTTTTTTTTTTTTTGGAAAACTCTATATTTAAAAAATTAAGTAATTAAAAATTAGTTTAGTAAATATATTATAATTGTTCAAGATTCATTATTTAGTTTGGAAGTTGAAGATTGGTAGGGCGGGAAGGTATAGGGGACTGAAGGGATATTTACTAAAGTCAGGAAAACTGCAACTACCAGAAATTAAAACACCACCTGAACCATTGAACGGCTTACTTATCGGAATTATCATGGATATTTTGTAAATTTTTGTCCCAGGGGGCATTGGTTTCTATGGGGCGGAAATGAAGGCGTGGCCCGATCGGCAGAAAATTTTGTCCAAACTTTGCATATATAATACCTATATAGTGTGCCAAGTTTTAAGTCTGTAGCTTCATTTTTCTAGTTTATGCAAGAATATTTGGCATTGGGACCAGTGTGCTATGTTCGTAATAGGTTTTTAAAATAAATCAAAATTCATTTTACACATTCAGTTTTTCTCGGAAAAAAACAGAAAAAACTATAAATATAACGGGACATCTCATGGAATAGGCTATGAGGTCTGCTCACGCAGTGTGACGTCGGCTTTGCACCTCGACTCTCTCTCTCTCTCTTTCCCAGCAACGTTGTTAAGGCGACAGCTAAAACTACCCAGCGGGAAAAAACCTGTGGAAAATATGCTATTTTCCAGTGGTTTCTTCATACAAGCGGAATGTGGAAAAACCCATTTACCCCTTACATTTCTGCCGTGTCTCCTTTCAAAACACACGGTGGTGACACACAAAAGTAAGGGGTAAGGGGCAAAATCCAGTGGACCTACAGCTGCTGAATGCAGGACAAAATCCACTGGACCTACAGCTGCTAAATGCAGGACAAAATCCACTGGACCTACAGCTGCTAAATGCAGGACAAAATCCAGTGGACCTACAGCTGCTGAATGCAGGGCAAAATCCACTGGTTTTTGTACTGAAAAAACCAGTGGAAATCTTGCTGCTTAACGCAGGACAAAATCCACTGGTTTTTGACCTTCCCGCTTTACAGAATTTCCATAATAAAAAATAATACTTTTTAATTTGGTATATGCATATATTAATCTATTTACAGTCCAAGGACCTTTATCATAAGTATTGTTGTATGTTATTATTTGCCTTAGTGAACGGTGAACGCATATCATCTTGATATTGGGGAAGACTGTAATTGTCGTTTCTGAGTGACTCTGAAAATAAAAACCATAATATATTAATATATTACATATTAATACAAATATTAAATATATAAAAAGTAATGGGAAAATAAAAAAAGGTAAAAAAATTTTTAAGTTAAACCGTTTTATGTAAAACATGTACTAAATGTACTAAAAGCCTAAAAATAATATAAAATAGATACAGACGTGGGAATTATAAACATATGCTTAGACTAGACTTAAATAAAACCGTGGGGCAAGTCAATTGTGTACAATCGTTGATTAAAATGTTTGTTTGCCCCACGGTTTTATTTAAGTCTAGTCTAAGCATATGTTTATATTTCCCACGTCTGTATCTATTTTATATTATTTTTAGGCTTTTAGTACATTTAGTACATGTTTTACATAAAACGGTTTAACTTAAAAAATTTTTTTACCTTTTTTTATTTTCTAGTTTTTAGTTTTTATTTCGCATTTTTATTTATATTTTTTTTTTCGAAGTTAACTCCACAGGTAAGTATGTTAATGCAGCAGCGTTGTACCGAACTATACGAACTTGATTAGGATAACAACGTTTGGTACAAATATCACAAACATGTATATGTCGGATCAAATGAAACGGGGCCTACTTTATTCTCTTGGTCAGAGCAGGTGAAGCGGGGCCTTCTTTAATGTGAAGCAGGGACTATTAAAAAAGGAAGTTAGAAATTGAGTGAAAGCATGGCAGAGCGGAACAGATTTAGACTGCTGCCAAGTGAGGTCTGTTCGTTAAGCGCTGACATACATGCTAGAAAGAGAGGACTAACAATGTATAAGAATTGAATAGAAATTAGAAATTTGGAAAGAAGACTCTTGGGAAGTCACTGACTTGGGAGTTCAGAAAGCGCCTGGCAAACGAACAGAACTTGCTGCTGAGGATTCTAGTTAAAGAAATGGAAAAGACAAACGACCCTCCGACATATACATGTTGTGTTAATAGCCTTCTCGAATGCCTGCAGATTATAAGCTCTGCTCTGTGTTTTTGATGCTTTTTGTTCCCGTCGTTTCTGTAATCGACCATTTCTATCAACTTCACTTTCTTTAGCTCGTTTTGTTTTATAATATTCTTTCGCTTTTTGAAGCCTTCGTTTACGCTGTGTTGCAGTTTCTTTCATAATTATTATTATTATTTAGCTTACCCCGTTTGTTGTCAGATTGATCTGAATTAATCTGATGTGTTTGACAGTGACAATGATAGCCATGTTGATGGGATTGATAAAACCTAAGTTATCCGCCATTTTGCAGAGGCCGCCATCTTGAATTTTAATTTTATATAGTACATTATATTCTACTTGTGGAGACCTTTCATTTGATACCCATATTGATGGGATTGAGAGAACCTACGTTATCCGCCATTTTGCGGCCGACATCTTGGATTTACAATGTTATTGACATTACTATATTGTATTGTCATCGGAACTGAAGGTGTGTACCAAATTTCAGATCAATCTGACAACAGGAGGGTACTTACATTTCAATTTCTAATTTTGACCCTAGGGTGAGCTAAATAAAACAGTTTAAAAATAGAGAAATTTAGAAAAATAAGTAATAAACATAGTAAAAGCATGGGAACATAGGGCTGTTGAAATTTATTAAAAATGTAGTGAGTACTTACAAATGCTTATGGATTGGCTTCGCCATCGGAGTCCAAATGGCCGAGTTCTTTAAATGACGAAATCGAATTGTCCGCTTGCGCACGTTCAGTTTTGCCGTTAATATTGACATAAGGGCCAGAATCTTTGATGTCGAATCTATTACAAACTCTAAAAAAAAACATTGTTTGTTCTTGTAAAATTGAAAAATAAATTTAAATAAAAAACTTACATACTTACTTGACAAACGCCTCCGGCGGCTAAAATGTAGTTTTTGGAAAAATGCCTATGTTCACCATATCCGTAACGCTGAAATAAGGATATACAAACAAAAATATTTATGTTATAACTTACCTTTATCTTGTTTTTTAAGATTAACACAACATTCTTTCACTTTTTACACTTTTTGCACGAAATTTTATACTGATGTGACCGTGCATCATATAACAACATTCCGAAGAAAGACAATAATTAGTCACAACTTCGTTGTAACTTATAGTCATATTCAGAAACCCACCCCATTTAGCGGTCCGAAATCATCTACCCCTTACCTACGCCTGCCAAAAGAAGTAGGTTTTCATCTATCCCTACCCCTACGCCTGCTAAAAGAAGGAGGTTTTCCAGTAAAATAAAAACCTACTTCTCACTTTCCCGCTGGGTTGTGTCGCTGCTACGCACACAAGCAAGGGTGCCAATCACTGATAAATATGTACATACATTTCTAACAGCTTGCTTTTCCGCACAACGCAATATCCGGTTGAATTTTTAAATTTGTTGTTTGTGGGATAAGAAAAACGACTTTATCAGGCAGGCTCCGGTTTTCACTTTCACAAGATTCTCTCGTTTTCGTTTTCAAAAACGAGAATTAGTGCTCCCGTTTTCACTTTCACAAGACTTTTCGTTTTCAAAAACGGGCAAGTTTTTTTTGTCGAAATGAAAAGTAGATGCCTTTTTCTACATCAAATCGGTTCTTAATTGCAAAAGGAAAAAAATAGTTGACTCCTTGGTCTATTGATGATCATTTTACACCATCAGTAGATCAGTCTAATTCGTATTTTTTTTTTAATAATTTTTTTCTGACCCGATCATGATTTTATAAATAAAGCAACAATTTTTGTTTTGCTAAGGGGTCGATAAATCTATTGCCAAAAATTATCGTCAATGCTGCCGTACATGTAGTGAAACAAATCAACCACTTCAAATAAGTGTCAAATCAAGGTTTTGTTTCCTAATTTCCCTTGAAAATAATATCTATACTAATATTATAAAGAGGTAAAATTTGTTTGTTTGTTTGTTTGTTTGTTTGCAGCGAATAGGCTCCGGAACTACTGGTCCGATTTAAAAAATTCTTTCACCGATAGAAAGCCACATTATCGTGGAGTTAAATAGGCTATAACTTATTTTGAAAAAGTTAGGGATCCGTAAGAAAATTGCAATATTGTCGCATATAAAGTGAGTTGCTAACTCATCACACTGACAAACACGCTCCCATTGCATTTTAACTCAATTTTTGTGTTCACTGTGAAATTTTGAAAAAAAAAAGATTTTTTATTCAATTTAAGTTGAACTGTGAAAATTATGTGGATCGTGCATTTGAGGATAAATTCACCACTCCGTCCATAGTCCAAAATGCTTAGAGGACGACGTGAAAACATTGGCCGCAGACATCCAAGCCAGCAACAAGTATATTCACAAAACTTAAGCGAAGAACGACAAATGAGCACATGGAGATTATTGGCATCATTCAATCGCTTGGCATTCCAATATGATCCCACTGCGAACTACTGTGATAATGAAATATATTAGACCAATGGCGACTATATACCGATATTGCAGTGCGTTAAAGTTTAAAAGAGAAACGGCTGGATTGTGCTGCGCAAGTGGAAAAGTCAAACTGGAAAAGTGTTAAATCACCATCTATCTATACATCCATATATTTGAAAAATGTAGCAACATTGACTTTTATGTTGTTAAATTGTGTTGACCAGCGAAGCGGACACAGGACCTCTAGTATGTTATAAATAACAAACAAATTAAAAATGTAAAAATATTTCAGTTGAAAAGCATAGCTTTATGCTAAAAATCTGTAAAAACAAAAATTTGTAACAGTAGCTTTAATGAAGTACAATTTTTAAGGAAATAAAGCATACGAAATAATAATAATAAAAAATCAACCACTTAAAAATACTTATAATATGAAAACGAAGAAAGAAATATTTGTGAAGAAAAGCAAATAAGCTTTTTACGAATAAATATGATTAATTTCCTTTCTTAAGGCAGGTTCTCACCTTGTGGCAAAAAAGAAATTGAATTTTTTTTTTTTGGCTTATCGTATAGATTTATGTTCCGAAAATGTTCTCAAAAAATTTCAGATCCAAATTTAAAATATTACAAAAGTTACAGGCCATAAGCTCCATGTAAGGAGCACATGTCGAGCACCGGCCATTGGAAGCCAAAACTTTAAACGCGTTTATCTCGGAACCACGTTTTCGGACCTTACGGAAGTAATTGAAGGCGTTGGGGTTAACCAATCGTCATCAAATTTTTTTAAATGTTCCTAATGGGTTTCTTTAACTAATGAACTAGGATTATCCAAAAATATTGAAAACTGTTAGATTGAGAAAATGCTTAGTAAGAAAAAAAAGCGCGTAAATCGAAATTTTTTTCAAAAGCTAATAACTTTTGCAATTTTTTTTTTTTTTTTCTAATCCTAGTTCATTTTATGCACAGTACTGTTCACTTTAAGAATCTTTTCGGTTTTTGTGTTTCCGATTACCCGTTTTGTCTGAATCACTTCCGTAAGCGGGACACCTTTTTGCCGAAATGTTGCATCTGAGGAACGCCCCCTCCCGCCCCCTTTTTGATTTTCCAATTTTGAAATTTTTTTTCGCAAAATAAATATGTTTTCAAATAAAGTTACAAATTTCCGATTTTTATCTTTAACCGTTTTCTCAAAATAATTTTTTTTAAAAATTTCAATTTTTTTGGCCCTACAAGGTGAGAACCTGCCTTAAAGTGCAGTAAAAAGTTGTTAAGAATAGTGTAATGAAAACTGCAAAAAAGGTGGCAGCCCCTTATTGTGGGAAACAGCTGATTTCTGATGGAGGCTTATTTGAACTTTTGAAAATGTAAGTAAGACAACTTAATTTATGTATTTAAAACTAAATGCAAAGCTTTTGCCTTCAGGCGGAAGCATAAGTCAACGCTCCAGAATGAAATCATGCTGGGTTTTGTGAAAGACAAGCCAGATGAAAAAATGAACCATTCCGGTAACGAAACGATGACAAAAAGTTTGTGAAAACCGGAGCACCTAAAGCGAAAACGTACGTTTTCGCCCAAAAACGAAAACGAAAAAAAAAAAAGTGAAAACCGGGGCCTGCCTGATAAAGAAAAGTGCTCTTCCAGGGGTGGACGCAGGGGTGGTACTGGGGGAACTCGCTAGAATTACGCGCATAAAAATATATATTGAGAAAAACTTAATCTCAAAAGACCGGTGTCAGCTCGAATGTCGTCTGGGAATGTTAGGAAAATATATTGAAAATGCATTCACGATTCAAAATAAAATCGAAATAAAAGATAAAGAGGACGATTTCAGAGTGGAATTGGAAGAATTGTGTGTAATAACGAAGGCAAAACTAAAATCGCTGTTACCACGCGCAAAGAACAGTGGCCCAAAACAATTTAGCACAACAGCGCCTTCTCATTGTAGACTTCCAAAAATATCTCTTCCAAAATTCGATGGAAAATATTCAGAATTTAAAAAATAGGACTATTTAATACTTTGGTACACAATGATAGTTCTCTACCAGACATCGAAAAGTTTAACCACCTCATATCATGCTTATCTGGAGCTACATTAGGAACAGTCAAAGCATTACAAATGCCAGAGGAAAATTACACTAAAGCTTTAGAAAGTCTCAAACGTTTGTCTTATATTTTTTGATAATATTGCGACTTTGTTCGATTTAAATCGGGATTCTCAACCTTCAGCAGCTGCTTTGAGGGAACTTATTGATACAGCATCAGCGGTTTATGACTCTCTATTATCATTAGGAAATCATGAAGACATCGCAAATGTTATTTTTAGTGCTGTCTAAAGTTGTCACCAAGACTTGTTCGAAAGGGGAAGAGCAGCTTGACTACTCAAAGTTGCCTAAGTGGAGTGATTGTCAATCGGTATTAAATCGAAGATTTCAGCAGCTGTCTGGAGAAGAAGGTACATTCGACTCTCGTTAATTCGAAACTCGAGGGACTCTTGAAATATTTCGAATTATCGAGTGTTTGAAATATCAAATGGTTCGAAATTTGCGAGAGAAAATAAATAAAACTTCGAATTATTAAGTGTTGGTTAATTTGTATATATTAATATAAAAATGATAAGAATTAAGAGGTACATTCGTGTACGTACATGTATTCGTAATGTGAATCAATTAATCTTTCGAAAGAACTTTGTTATATGTACTGGTTTGCTTTAAAGCACAATTCTGCTGCTCACACTGCTCAATAACTTTTTTTAAGAGAAAAAGTGCCTGAAATGCTTTCGTTTTGTAGACTCAAGTTTTGTAAGGTATCAACTGAGGATCTTGCTTCCTTAACTGACACCTCTGCCAAAGGTTCTTTATACTTTCTAGGGCTCATAGCTAACACTAACTTTTAACATGCATACCAACGAAAGAGTAACAGTAACTGAATAACTACACAAACCAATTCGTAAGAAGTGTGTGCGTCAAATGGTCAAACTACATAATCAAAAGAAAAACAAAGGCAAGTTTGAACTTGTCGCAAAATTTCCGCCTTTTTTCTCTGCAACTTTGAATTGTCGAGTGTTAGACGCTGATGAGTTCGAATTGACACGTGGTTTTGTTAAATATCAATGATTGTATCGTTCGAATTACGAAGTGTATGAAAATGTATTGATTTAGTTCGAAATATAAAGAGATTTCGTAGCGACCTTGTGATAACTTTGAATTACACTGTGCGACAAAATTTAACAAAATGTTTGTTTGAGTTACTTTTTTGATTGTTTTCGGTTAAGGGGGCATAAGTTATGCACAAAAATATTTATGCCACCTTCTAAGTGATAGGATTTCTTTTTTATGATAAATTTTATGAAATTATTATTATGAAAATATTTAACACAAAATATTTATTTTTTTTTTTACTTCCAA